AGAGAGAGAGAGAGAGAGAGAGAGAGAGAGAGAGAGAGAGAGAATCCGAATAGGGATGCTGAGATTTTCTTTTGAAAGTGTGCTCCACATCACTGATTATCCTGAGATACTGGAAAACAATTAGTGTTATCAACTGTTTATAGTGATGAGAAACAGTAACTTCAGCATGAATTCCTCTTATATTAAACAAAAGGGATGCTTTTGATTAGTAATAGGATTGCTTTCTAAAATTATGAAAGGACACCTGAGTTTCTTCCTTCTTAATTTCCGAAAATGTTGGATATACTAGGTTAGGCACAAAACATGCACCAATTTCAAAGCGTGGAGTGTGAATGATATTCTTCTGTAGTTTCCCCTATATTTTACATTCTGTGGTTGACATCGCCTGAAAATCAATGAAAGCTTGTACCACCATGTGCAAATTCTTTAAAGAGCTATGTGAAATTATCAGTGGCACATTGGTTTCAATATAATTCAGCTGGTTATGTTACATTTCTGAATACATCAGGGTTGTACCTCAATTACTTTTTCTTTCTTGCTTGAAATTGCAGTTCTGGAAATCCAAACTGATTGTGACTTATGTTTCAGGCAATTCTGAAGGTTAAAGAAGATCTGACAATGGATTTGGGAAGGGAAGCTATAGAAGGGGAAGTTGCAGCTGCCACAAACATGTGTGTAGCAGAAATGCGGAGACATGTGGAGGTGGGCCAAGCTGCCAGAAATAAGCTCATCAAGGTCCTCCTCTCTTTCCATATCATTCCATGTACACATGTTAAGTTATATAACAAATACTGCACATGTCATGGCTGGTTTTGCTTATTTTAGTTACTCTCTCTCTTTCTGAGACCCGCTAAAATGTAGCAGTATGTCTTCTTTGCCTCTCGGTTTTCACATTGTGATCTTTCTCATGTTTGGTGAGGTGTGGGGTTTTAAGGTAGCTGAAGTTCTACATGACCCGTCAGTGGAAATGAACTTTCATGTTGCATTTTCTTTTCCCATAGTCTCATTATATTGGTATGGGCTTCCTATGAAATTTCTAGTTGAATTTCTCAAGTTGAGTAGACTCATTATGAGTGCACAAGATTCACGAAAAGCTGCATTTGTCTGAAAAAGTGGCATCCCAAAAGTTTCTGACCAATTGAACATCTGAAGCTCACTCTTGATGATATTAAATATGAGCTAGATAAAACGATCTAGAATTTTGTTGAAATGGGTCCACAGATGGATCCAACAAGGAATTATTTCAGAACCACACCTTGCTATAAGGAATCAAGAGTTTTCGAGCAGAAATTAACCATGCTTTTATTAGTTCTTGATATAAAGTGGAAAAAACCTTCATACATACTATATATTTCACTTGATAAAATCATTTGGGAGGTGATTCTATTCAAGAGTTTTCCTCTGTTCTCCTTTATATTATACTTGCATTTCATGAAATTAGGTCTATATTTAGAGTCTTTGACTTTCATTGAGCTTTTCATATTCAAACAAGGACGTTATTTGTATATGTGTTTGTTTGCAGTGAGGTGGAATCTTCCCCTCATGCACTTGTATTAAAACTAAAATACAAATACTTATTGGAGAAACAGCCATTTTTTAACCATGCTTTTATTAGTTCTTGATATAAAGTGGAAAAAACCTTCATACATACTATATATTTCACTTGATAAAATCATTTGGGAGGTGATTCTATTCAAGAGTTTTCCGCTGTTCTCCCTTATATTATGCTTGCATTTCATGAAATTAGGTCTATATTTAGAGTCTTCGACTTTCATTGAGCTTTTCATATTCAAACAAGGATGTTATTTGTATATGTGTTTGTTTGTAGTGAGGTGGAATCTTCCCCTCATGCACTTGTGTTAAAACTAAATTACAAATACTTATTGGAGAAAAAGCCATTGTTTCCCATGTCTCTCTTGAATTCAACACAAACTGCTTCTCAAATGTGTCTAATGGTCCTATCTGATCTTATTGTTCCTAATTAATAGTGATTATATTTCATATCACTAATAGCCCTTCCCCTCAGAATAATATATATATATAT